TTAACCAACATCAATCACCATGTTTAAGCACAGCACGGTAAATGTGCCATACCCAAGACCACTTCCTGAAAACAGACTCCAGCCTCTAACCAAACAAACCTCTCTTCCTCTTCCTGTGAAAAAGCCCTTCATACTCCCTGGCCCCTGAAAGTCACAGACATAGGCCTTGGGCAGACTTTGCTGATGTATTTTGAACTCTATATTTAATTAGAAAGTACCTACTCCTCCTCTCTCACAATTTCCACCAATAGACTCATTATGCATTACATCACAATGCCCAAATTCAGATCCTTGCTTCCAACTTAACAGCTGTGTTGCCTTACATAAGTTGCTTAAAATGGAAATAGTAATAATACCTACAGTACCTCTGAGTTGCTATTAAGAAGGCATACCAGGGGCCGGGGATTTAGCACAGTGGTTCCACTGCCTGCCTTGCACGCTCAAGGACTCGAGTACCAAAAAAAAAAAAACAAGAAGGCATGACATCACTGACATATGCAAAGTGGGAAAAAGAATGCCTAGCACTATTTTTGTTATTATTCATATCATAGAAGAAAGATCACTCGATATACTCACAATTATTTATACAAATAAATAAATTAGGTGTATCAACAGATCATAAGCAGTTGCTAAGCTCCTTATGTAAAGTGCAACTAGTTTAATGAGAAAGAATATGAGGAAAATGATTCAGTAGTGTGCTTTTGAGGTTGTTTACCATTATTCAAAGATAAAATATTTTCTGACATCATTCAAAAGCAAGAGCACCAATTTCTCCACTAATACATACATCATTTCTGCTGAAAGCCTGTTTTCCATCAGCCTTTGAAGGCTATGACATTCAAATAATGCTACTTTTTACTTTTGACACTGCTCCTTACTTTAAGTTCATGCCTAGTCTTCATTATTTGCTTCCTTCTATATCTTCTTTTCTCACTGCTTTTCAGTATGAAAGACTGTAAATGTTTTTGTTGCTTGCTTTTTCAGTACCGGGGATCGAACTCAGCTCCTTATGCTTCTGAGGCAGGCGGCAGAACCACAGAGCTAAATCCCTGGACCTGAAAGACTGTAAATTTAACCTTAATGATTTATAATGTTTCTTCTACCCACTTCAGATTCAATAGAAGATATAGGTACTACACACGCTGTCTTGAAATTTTTTTTTTTAATCCAGAGGATTCCAAGAATGAGCAACCCTAGGTCTTTTGTATTGCTCTTAGTCAAGAAAAAAAAATTTCTGTTTCCTTAATACCTTGCTTGAGCCTCTAAATAGTTAACATGCAAAACTACATACGGTTCCTTGCTTTTTAGTAGGTAGAATTTTATTTTCTTTCAAAGCCAAAACGCTCTGTTTTATTAAAATATGTATTTAGCAATGTTGTCCTGTGTGAAAAAGAAAATAAACAATAGTAGTAGATGTAGAATTTGTTCAAATGTAAAACACCCCAATAGCTTTCTACCTTCAGCCTGTAAATCAATATTAAGTTCATTTTTCAACCATACTGGACAAAATAGTAAGTGGTAGGATTACTCACTGTACCTATCTTTGTGTATCAGGAGTCCATTAACATATTTTTCTTAGTTGACATGTTTTTATTTGAGTTATTTCTGAGTTGTTCCAATTTTGGGGGGTGTTTTTGTTTTTGTTTTGTTTTGTTTTTTGTACCGGAGGATTGAACTCGGGTCCTTGCACTTTCAAGGCAGGCGACAGCACCACAGTACTTGAGTTATTTTTAAATCTGGCCCTTTTATACAAAAACTTGGATTTTTCAGCTTCTCTTTAAAAAATTCATTTTTCAGCCTTTGCAGATCCACATTCTCAGCCCAGTCAACAGCTACCTGGAGCTTAGCAATCACTCCCTGTAAAAAGGATGAGTTTCGTAAGGGAAAAAAAATGAGAATCAAGACGTCATGTAGAGGTACAAGATCCCAACAATGAATGTAACTGTACTGTATCCCTAAAATGTACCAATAAACTCAATTAAAACTGAAAAAAAAAAAAAGGATGAGTTTCCAACACCATTCAATATGCCCACTTCACTCACTTCACTCCCTGGAAGGATCTGAGATTGCAACCTCTGTTTTATACCTTCAAGTGTTTTTCCTAGTTTGCTCCAAGAAGGAAGATTGTCACAATTTCAACGTTTTAAATGTACATACTGTGACCCAGCAACTTTCTTCCTGAAAAAAAAATGGAAGCTATACAAGTATATGGATGGCCACTGTAGCACTGCTTCTAAAAGCAAAAAAACCTGAATATCAATGAAGACTGGTTGAATAAATGATGGTGAATCTATAGAAGAGAATACCAGAGTCTCCAGAAGCAATAAAGTAAATCTGAGCACAGGGAAATGGAAAACTGTCCAAAATATATTAAGTGAAAAAAAGGTATAGAACAGTATGTGATATATGATCTAATCTGTGGGGAATGAGTAGATATATTAATACATGCCTGCATTTCAAATTTTTAGAAGCAACTCTTTTATTAATCACACTACTTTTATACCTTTTTTTTTTTTTTTTTTTTTTTTTTTTTTTTTTGGTACCAGGGATCAAACTCAGGACCTTGTACTTATGAGGCAGGTGGCAGCACACAGAGCTAAATTCCTGGCCCACTTTTATACTTTTTTTTTAAAGAAAGCCCTATGAACAGGGATATTTCAAATCATTCCATGTATAATTATCACCACACCTTCATGTCATGTCTTGGTAATAGAGTCCCTTCAGAGTCAAGCTTGATTTCATTTCTTTGGCAAGAAGAAGAAAAAGCCTCTTGGATGACTCTTCAACCCAGACCCACGCCAGCACAGAAAACACACAATGGCCACTGAGGAAGCTATGCTCACTGAGAGCTCTCAGTAGCTCATGTTGCTCTCTAATTGTCCTTTTTTTTTTTTTTTTTTTTGTACCAAAAGCCTCTTGGATGACTCTTCAACCCAGACCCACGCCAGCACAGAAAACACACAATGGCCACTGAGGAAGCTATGCTCACTGAGAGCTCTCAGTAGCTCATGTTGCTCTCTAATTGTCCTTTTTTTTTTTTTTTTTTGTACCAGAGATCGAACTCAGGTCCTTCTGCTTGCGAGGGAGTCGCCAGAACAACTGAGCTAAATCCCTGGCTCTAATTGTCCTTTTAAAACCAAATATAAATAAAACAGAAGCAGGAGCTCCTCCAGGCTGGGCTCCAAACATTGCTCGTAGCCTGCTCCACATGTATATGGTGCTAGCAAAGATGGTAACTACCTATAGACATTATTTCCCTTGCGCTATTAATGCTTTAGGCAGGATAACAGAAAAGGAAGGAAAGAGAACAGGTTCCACTGTCCCCAGCAAACCCCTAACTGGTCAACCCAGCACAGTGGAGTACAAATGTGATCTTCCCCTTAAAGGGGACAATGCCATATATGCCTTTCATACATTCAGGAAGGGCAGCCACTGCAGGCTGTTCATGGTGGCAGCAGTCCTTGTGACCCACTATCAGCACTACCAGGCAAATGGGAAGTTACTGAGTACTGGGTAGCTAGAGATTGTAAGGTGCTCGGCCACCAATGAGATACTATGTGTCACTGCCACTGTGGGATTCTCCAGCATCACCACTCCCATCCAGGCAACTGTCAGATCTTCCCCATTCCACCTCGAACCCCCAAAGGTATCCAAATCACACAAGAATATCAGGACCAGAACACATGGCACTTTCAAAAGTTACTGCCTCCTAATAAAATGTGGTTTTTGAGGAACAAAATAGAAATTTTGATTCCTTTTTTTTTTTTTTTTTTTTTTTTGGTACCAGGGACTGAACTCAGGTCCTTGCGCTTGAGAGGCAGGCGGTGGAACCGCTGAGCCAAATCCCTGGCCAAAATAGAAATTTTGATACAGAATATATATCACACGCAGCTCCCACCCGACCACACACTCTAAGGCCTTTCTTCAGAGCTATTTTTCTCAACTTCTGCAAGACGCAAAGAAACATGTAGTGTGTATTTAATACAGATGTCTACTTGGAGCTGACAACAGGTAAGTCAAAAAACATAGGTGGCATTATTTGGAAAAGGATTTTATATAAGATTCTCTATAGTACTTTAATACTAATTTTGAAAGCAGAAAAGAAAAGCACAATGCTTTTGGTATTCTACCTTAGAGTTCTGTGAATTTAGTCATTGGGAATGGTTTCAAGCTTTCTCACAAAAACCATCCCAAATATGGCAGATCTATTACTGTCTAAACAATGTGCACAATTTAAGAAGCTTTAAACAGGAAAAATAACATTAATTCAAACCCCATTAATTCAGAATTAATAATAATGTAAAGCATTCTTCATATTTCAGGGTGAATCATGTAACCAGGGCTTGTCAAATGACTGGAGAGATTAGAGATGGACTACTTAAGATGGTCTATATTCCAATTCTGTACCAGCATTGCCTCACGTGTAATTTGTAGCATTAAGGTAATATTTAGTAATGAGGCTTATCTGTGGATCAAGCAGGTCTATCAAGACTAGCTACAATCAGCAACTAACGAAAATGTCTGCTATCCCTGCCCTTTGTCTCAAGTATCTCATGCATAAGCCAGTCACCATGGTGCACATCTATAGTCCTAGATATTCAGGAGCCTGAGGTGGTGTCCTGACCATAAGAGTTTCAGAACAGCCTAAGCACCATAGTGAGACCCAATATCGAAAATAATCAACAGATGGGCCGGGAATTTAGCTCAGCGGTTCGGTGGCCTGCCTTGCAATCACAAGGACCCAAGTTCAATCCCCAGGACCAAAACATAAAAAAATTTAAAAATAAACAACAGAATGGGGAAGAAAGAAGAATCCAGATATATTATGTACAAGTACAAATTCTCTATGATTAATGCAATCATTATGTATATCAAAAGTATACCAAAAAATTAATATTTTAAAAACACCAAACTGCTCATTCTTTCTTTCAAGCTGCTCTTCTTGTAACTGCTATATTTTGCTGTGCAATATCATCTGGAAGATGTCAAAAAGTGCTTACCTCTGAGTCTTTGGCCTGCTGATTACGAATGACTATCAAATTATACAAGATTCTGTCATCATCCGCCTCAGTGTGGGACACATCATGAGGTAGGCTCCACAAATTCTTTTCATCATCCCTCTCCAGAGTTGCTCCAAATGAAGAATGTCAATTATTACTGCTGTGGAACCAAAAGAAAGAAAGGATAAGGACTTTGATACAGATAGGTAGATAGATAAGATAGACAGACAAACAGATCATATAACATACATTCACAATAAAAAGGTCTAAATTGTCTTTAATAATTAAGTATAATACAATACAACAATAAGAACAAACAAAAAATGAATCAATTCAAAAAGAGCAGAAAATAAATGCAACCAGATACTGGGAAGAGGTATTCACTACAGTTAAACATGAAATTCTGCACTGACTACCCCAGCAGTTAAGACAAAAAAGGAACCCCATATGGAATAAAATTGCTAATAGATTGAAAGAAGCACGCAATTAACATGAAGAAATGTATTTTCTGCTGGCTCTGAGTTCAAAGAAACACAGAAAACATAAGAGTATAATGATACATAATATCTATGAAAATCTTTACACCAAGAAAATGAAGCAAGAAATACGCATAGCCAAATGCTTTCATAAACAATGCACGATATGGATGAAGAATTTCTTAAGCTCCCTTTTGTACATTTGTTTCATGAGTTTTCCTATATAAAGAGGTTCCTATGATATGTAGGGGAGATATCAGTGGAGCGGCATCACATCTAATTTCTGAGAGACAGAACAAGTCACACAGGGGCTATTCACTTCATCTCATAATATGTATAAAGCCCTGACTACATACTAATCACGGGACTCCATAAAACTGTGAGTAAAACAGACACAGTTCCTGTCTGTGGACTTCACTGGAGCCAAATATGGGAAACACATAAATGAAAGATTGTGTAACTGTAATTTAAAACTGTGCTAAGTGCTATAAAGGAGATATGCAGGGATGCAAGAGCATGTGAAAGAGGCTAACAGAAGATCCCAGTGGAGGAGGGCACAGACTGGCATGCTTGGGCTGTAAGGTGACAGGTGAGAACTCAGGTGCAAGAAAGTAGGCAGCACGTTCAAAAGCAGGTGGAGGAAACAGGGTGGGTGCATAAAAGAAAGGCCACCTTAGTCAGACAATAAGAGGGTGCTGGGAGTTAGCCTGGGGTTAGAAACAGATTGCTTTGTAGGTCCTGTTTGTAACCTTCTTCCATCTGTCTTTATTCCTAAAAGCAAGGCAAGATCTGGAAGAGTTTTCAGCAGAATTGTGACGCTATTTAAAAACACTATTTCACGTTTACTTTCCAGATGAAGTGTGGGGACTGCTTGAGAGATGTCAGGAGAGGATTTAGGGGAGTCATGAATGTGCAACTGCAGTAAGTCAGGTGAGAGATGACAGCGATCAGGTCTGGTGTGAAAACCATGCCGTGTGAAACTGGAGAACAGCACACTATTCAGGACTATGGTACAATGAAGACGATTTAGAGGTGAACTCAGTAGGAGAGCACCACAGGGAGGGGGGAAAGGAAGAGCTGAAGACAACTCCACGGCTCCTGGCTTCTTCACCTGGATGATGAGTGATGCCATTCTCGGAAGCAGAACTAGGATCCCCACTCCCCACCTCGGGGCCATGGGCTGGCACACACATCTGCAGGTGTGACATCAGGGAGGGCCAAAGGGAAACAGAAGACATCCAGATGGCACCTGGGAAGCAGGAACCAGAGACCTCACAGGAAAGATAAATATTAAGATGCCCACCCTTGTGACATACTCAGAAGTTAGCACCAGGAAATCTCACAAGTACCAGTCACCACATTGGAGTTCAAAGGCATGAATAACCCAGCAAGGGAGGAGCTCCAGTGCTAGAGCAATGGGGTGCAGATTAGGCATGAGGTCAGTCAAGGCCTCAGACTAGGAAAAGACACTCAAGGCCCACATGCGAAGACGGGTAGAGGTGGGGACAGGACATTGGAGCCAAGGCCAACAAGAGGTCAGCCACCTAACCAGCACGGGACTCAGAGCTGGGTGCTGAACAGTGTCCCTGAATTCCCTCTGGTTGCACATCCGAAGCTCAGGCTCTGAGACTGGACAGGCTCATCTGTACAATGGGGAAAGCAGAAAGACTCCCACTCTTCTCAGAACCACCTTGTTCTAAAACAGAGAGAGCCCCCATATCCTGCCTCTTCTTAGGGATCATGGGCCAGTGAAAGGGGTGATAGGTAATGCTTGGTGCTCTGTATTTACAGGCTTTAATGAGCGTGCTAAACTCTGAATGAGGAAGGTCAGCAGAAGGCATGGCTGTAGCAGGAGCAGCTGGTAGAGCCTTTGTCTGCCCATGTTGGAGCATTGGAAGTGGTCCTGCATTCCCACTACAGGGGTGCACGGAGCCAGGGAAACCAGGGCCATGAAGATGAAAAGGTACTCTGGAGTCAAACTGAAGACACTGCTAGTCTGGGCTTTGTGCTGCGAACTGTGTCAACCAATAACAACCAGAGCAATCATTCTGTTCAAATCTTCTTTGGTAGAGTTAAAGGAAAATTGTGCTATTGCTAAATAAATAAGTACATATGTAACTTTAAATGTTTTGAAATAATACTTGAAATTCAAAGGGATGAGCATATGAGCCAGCAAAACACAAGCGAAACAGGAAATGAGAGGACTGGTCCAACATCACCCGAGGGAGACAACAGCTGTCCATGGTGGGCAGCACAAATGGCTTCAGGTGGCAGCTGTGTGAGGGCAACACCTTCAGCTGGGACTCAGTGTGGACCACAAGGTGGAGTTGATGAGCCACAGGACACTCGGGGAGGTGTCAAGGATCTGGGCACAGGATCAAGGACAGGACAGAGATCTAGATGTGGGATGTCTTAGTCACTTTCTGATTCTTGGGACACAATACCCGATATCTACGACAAAAAGGAGAGGTCTGTTTTGGTTCACGGTTACAGTCCTTGGTCAGCTGGCTCCAAGGCAGAAATGCATGGTGGAAGGATCTGGCAGAGGAAAACTGTTCACATCATAGCAGCCAGGAAGCAGACAGAGAAATGAGGAGCCTGGGAGGGAGATTCATCCTTCCAACTCACACCCTCAGTGATCTGCCTCTTCCAAGCGGGCCCCACCTCCAACGGCACACTTAGCTAGAAGATCATAATCCAAATACATGACGCTTTAGGGGCCACTGCACATCCAAACCACATGATGGGACAGGAGCACATGCATCTATGTCACCATGGAAGCTATGCGATCAGAGGAACAGGAGTGAGACAGGTTCTTCTAGGAATGAGTCATTGGGGAGAATGGAAGAGCCAGGAAGAGAGATGTCTGGACAAAGAGGGGTTCAGAAGAGCAGGTAGACACCAGGGAGGTGTCACACCCTGAAAGATGCTGACCGCCTTTCTTTCTCTGCCTAGTTCTTGTGGCCGATCCTAAGCCACTGCATTACAGAGTCAGCCTCGGGCAAGGGTTCCCACATTCCAACCTTCAGGTTACACAAATGTCTGGGGTAGGAAGAGTGAGAGGCCTTATCCCTCAACTCTGCAGATCAGATCAGGAATACAGGGCTGCTCGATTTCTCCCAGCATGAGGCCCTTTAGGTCACTGAGCAGCTGTGCACCACAGGACTGCACATCCTAATGCGGTGACTCAGGTGCACCCACAGGCAGAATCACTCAAGTAATAGCCATATGTGTCCGTGCTCCCAGAGCTGGGCTTCTCTCCAGGGGTGCAGTTCGACAGTCATACAGACCTGATGCACAGCTTCCACCAGGGGAAGCCACCATGGAACACAAAACACCTCAGGACGACAGAACCCTTGTATCTTCCTGACACCAGCCCTGTATTTGCCCAAATTCATTTTATGTCTATAACTCTTATCTCCTACCAAGTTAATAAGTTCCTCAAGAGCCACGATTGTATCCAGTCACTCTTCTACGCCCCATGTCACTTAGCAGGGTCCAGCACAGAGGGGTTGCTTTCAAAGTATTTGTTGAATGGAACAAACTGAACCTTGATTCCAACTTGCGAGGGGAAACCCCAGGCATCACTGACTGTGACCACTTTTTTAAAAGCTTTCAAAGAGGGAAGTTTAGAAAGGAGACAGCATTTGCTTGACTGTCTGTCTCTCTCTCCATCACACACACACACACACACACACACACACACACACACATCAGCCACTCAGTGTCCAACAAGGGCCATTCGTTCTAATCCACAGACTAGAAGGATGAGGAAGCTCAACACCCAGACTGTTCCAAAGAGCTCCTGCTCCAGACAGCACCTCCTAAGTCATCTGCACATCCAGCCCTGCCCTAATTAGAAACAGTGTCCCCTGACGTCTCCTAGCAGCCTTGGACCCTGCCTACTTACCGAAACTCAGGGGACATATGAACTGGGGATGAGAACCAGCAGTTGCTTCTCAGGAGGACCAGGGCCTCTCCTGTGGGCCTGACAGAGAACTCCAGCTGCCCTCCTGAGTGCTCCTCCCTGTGGGGCCCCCTCCCCAGCTCCTTCCATGGCCTCCTCCATGGAGGTCTCATTCCACTGCGTTCTTCTTACCCAGTAATGACAAGCAGGTTTCCTGGGGGCTTAGGGACGGTGGGGTTGTACCTCTATTAAATAATTACACTGATACTTCTTTTCTTTTCATTTTTTTTGGAACCACTGAGCTAAATCCCCGACCCACCAATGCTTTTTTTCAAAAGAGAGGTCAAGATGAAAAGGAGCAAGGGCTACCAAGCTCGCTGGACAGTATCAGAGTTCTTGGATTAAGCAGGCTCACAGGTCCCAAACACTCCTTTTACTCCCGCACTGCCACCACCCAGACAAGCCATCAACCCACTGCTCTGACACTCGGACCCACGGGACAGAGAGACCAGGACAGAGCAAAGCCTAAAGGAAACACCCAGAAGAGAAACAGCCTGGGACCTCTGTGAATAGGTGAGTGGGAAGGGCTCTATGTCCATGGAAACCGAATTCAGTGCAAAGGACCTGAAGTCTAGGCCCCAGGAGCAGTGGGGGGACAGAAGGAAGGAAGGAAGGAAGGAATGGTGCTGCAGGTCCCGAGCTCACTTCTCTCTCTCCTGCACATAATGATTTCTAAAAGGTTTTGAGAAAAGGGAGAATGGTTGCTTTGTCCCTGGC